GGGAGAGGGAGAGGGAGAGGGGCCGAGCGAGTTAGCTAAGAGGTTCGATCAATTGTTCAAATCGACAGCGTTCTCCTCCGGATCTGACTGTCTCGCTGCCGCCGCTTTCTGGTAAGGGCGGATTTTCTTTCATAGGTGGGAGATCTGCAGTAGAGTTGTGGTCTTCATGTCCCGAGTAGGGCAAGTGTGGATTCTGTGGATTTTGTTTCTGTTTTGATGCTGATTCCTTCTTTTTTTTTTTGCTTGAATGAATGGAAATTGACGGGCAGGTGGGGTTTTTAGTGGAGTGAGGAGGTGGACGCACTTCGGTTTCCCGATTGATGTGCTGTTTAGGGCTTTTTTTTTCATTTGGGGGTTTTCTTTTAATATGGGGTTCTTATTCGTCTGATTGAAGTTGGGGCGGAAGGATGTTTCGAGGTTTTTGTCACTACTTTGAATTGATAGCAGGTAATCGGCAAATGCCGATCTATTGTGTTTTGTTTAAAAAACCCTAAGATCTGTCTATACGTCTAATTTCACGGTTAGAATAAGAAATTTTTTTTTCCTAATATTGTTGATCGGGAAGGGATGATTGATTTTTCATGGCTGTTTTTTCATGTTATTGATTCTGTTTTGGATTATTTGACCTATGCCAGAGAAGTTGGAGATTCCCTGGGGCTTTTGCATTCCGCACCTCTATTATCATTAGTTTGCGGAGAGAACAAATGTTGAGGGCTCGGAGACGTGTGCCTTGTTGCGATGAGGGATGCTAACTGTGTTGATGAACTATCTGAGGGCCTGCTGGCGGCCATCTTCTGATTGCCGCTTTGTTCACGCTGGTTCTGATGCGGTTGGCAGGCAGGATGGGCTTCTATGGTATAAGGACTTTGGGCAGCATGTGAATGGGGAATTCTCCATGGCCGTGGTCCAGGCCAACAACTTACTGGAGGACCAAAGCCAGATAGAGTCTGGGCCATTGTCTTTGTTGGATTCTGGTCCTTATGGAACTTTTGTGGGTGTTTATGATGGGCATGGCGGTCCAGAGACTTCAAGATACATCACTGATCATCTATTTCAACATTTAAAGAGTATGTTTAGAAGCTGAAAAATTCTATTATGTTTGTATTTTTTGGGTCTCACTCAGTACTTCCTTTTTCTCCTAGGAAAAGTGAGGTCTATTTCATAAATTTATGATTTTTCTACCTGCTTTCATTGTTTTGGTCCCTTTCACAAAAAAAATCCGAGTATTGTTCCAGCATTTATTAATGCGTAGTTTGGTTAAATTTGTTATGAATATTGAAGGTAGTACTGTAGTTGGGATTGCTTGTTGAACTGTACTAGTGTCAAAGAAGTCATTCAATTATTGCAGTATCTTCTTGAATTACCTAGTTTTCTTTATTTTTGTAATGCTATTTCTTGCCTTTTTCGGATTTGGCTTGAATTTGATGCTATATTTATTCTGTTATTATGCTTTTGTCGATGCAAGTTTACCTGTTCCAAGCCTACCTATTCCTGTGCCATGCCTGCCTATTATTGTCTCATGATTTGAGCTTGATTTTGAAGTTACTTCAGACGGCCGACTTAATAGAATAAATTCTCAGGATTTGCTTCAGAGCAGCAGTCAATGTCAGCTGAGGTGATTCGTAAGGCATATCAAGCCACAGAAGAAGGATTTCTCTCTTTTGTTGCCAAACAATGGCCTGTCAAACCTCAGATTGCTGCTGTTGGATCTTGCTGTCTTGTGGGCATCATTTGTGCCGGAACTTTGTATGTTGCTAATGTTGGAGACTCCCGTGTTGTTATGGGAAGGTTAGTCAAGGCAACTGGAGAGGTTTTGGCAGTCCAGTTGTCCGCAGAGCACAATGCAAGCATTGAGTCTGTTAGACAAGAGCTACAATCATTGCACCCAGAGGACTCCCAAATTGTTGTCCTTAAGCATAATGTTTGGCGTGTTAAGGGCCTTATCCAGGTATTATTTTGCAGTGAAACTATTTTTACCATGAATTCTATAGGAGGCAAATATCATTTCCTTGAAGGCCCCATATAGTTTTAGAAAAGTAAGCGTTATGCACTCAGTTGTTTCTGAAGATGCTTATAATGCTCTTTTACTTTCTGTTTAGGCAGGCAATTGAATGTTTTGAATCATATTTTTTTTTTCAATGGTCTATGAAACAACCTTAAGTGGTTATTTTGCACTTTACCTTTTTCTTAAAACTTCCCAGTTGTTTCTCATCAGCTGAGCTTTTTTCTGGCGTTTGAAGAGTCCACAATTCTTCTTTGATGATTGAAGATTTCAACATAGGTACTTGATAATTTAAAGATAGAGCACTCATTCATGCTAAAATAATAAATTTTTAGAAGTTTTATTTTAAGCATTCATGCATTAAAATGCTAGTATGCCTGGGGCTTCGTTTATTAGTTGAGCATTGTTATGACTCATTTTTCATAGTTATGGTTTATAACTTGACTGTGCTATTTAGTAGGACCCACAGGTGTTAATTTGCCGAACTTTAAATATGCATGACATTGCCAGGGTTAATTTTAGTGAAAAATTTACTTTCTTAAAGATATTGCTTGCTTTAGGTTTAACCATACCACAAGAGTGCTTACTGCATGACACACAAACCTATTATGTGCTTTAATTGCAGCATCAATTAGCCCAATTTTTTTTGTCAGTTTCTTTGCAAGCCCTTTTTAGATGTGGTTGCAATTTTTTTGTAAATGTGGTTGTAACATTGCAATGAGAAAAATTCTGAAAGTCCATATCATTGGGAAATTTTTTTGTCAGTTTCTTTTGCTCTTGCAAATACTCAAGTTCTGAATGATTTCAAAATCTATATAAAGTCCATGGTTATTTCTTAAGTCCAATGAAATATTTTGAAATGAGAGTCTGCTCTCAAGACTTAGGGTCTGTTTGGGGCAGCTGTTGATTATTTATAATCTGCTGATGAACAAATTATTCTGATAATCTGCAGATTATCAGAAGAAGCTGACTTGCTGTTTGAGGCAGTCTATTCAGAACAACTTACTGAGAGCTGTTGTTGAATAAATGACTATTCTGTTACTGTTTGGTTAAGCAATTTGCAACAGAACTGTTTATAAAAAATAATAGATAAAACAGATGTCTCAAAATATTACAGTTCATTTATAAAAATTAAAATACATTGCTCATCACTTCGTGAGTATCAAAACAAATAAAATAAGAAGAAATACAATTACAATTATAAGTAAAAATATTAAAACGTTTAATTTAAAACTCAGACGTCGTCTTTCTTCGGCGGCACTGTACTCTTGGGAAACCATTGTAACACGATCACTGTCTCCATGGGAGTATGTCGGCGTGTCGGTCCAACGGAAGAAACCGCTTTTTGCTGAAACACCCCTATGACAGCCGTAAAATTGTCTCTCACTGCTATGCAGCTGGCGTAAGAGAACCGGTAGTTCGCAGTAACACAACACAACTCGGGTGGTTCCTGAAATCCTAGAGCTCATACTTCTCCTGAGAAAAAACAATCAAAAGACGAGGTTGAAGTTAAAGTAAGAAAGTAATAAAACTTACTTTGAAATACGATATGTAACAAAGATCATTTGCAATTTGTTCCGGAATAGTTGCGAACGATGGATCCGATGGCTTAATGTTTTGCGCTGCTAAGCTCACAAGTGTCTGTATACCTTTGGAGAAGTATCGACTAATTGTTTATGATGAATGTTGAAATCGCTCCATAGCTCATCTAACTGATTTATTCTGCGAGAGAATGTATAATGTTATGACCAACACCTCTCTCGTCGTCGTTTTAGAAGAACCTTAGAGGCCGTGGTTACGACATAAGTCATGTAGAAGATCCATAAAAATGGGCACAGTCATTTGGAAAATACAGTTGAACTTTATCGGATGTCCAACAAGCATCTCACTCACCCATTTGTCCCCAACATATGAGGACGTCATTCATGGTATCCGTCTAGTGCTGGAGCGGTAATATTCCAACAATAGTATCGCTATAGCTGCGACCCATGCCATTCTTTTACGACGTTTTCGAAGTGGATCCATCCTGAAATTAGAAATGCATTAAGATTAAATAATATATGGAAAAGCGGTAGGAAAATAAAACAGTAGTTTGAAGTACATCTAGTGAACAAAGCAGCAGAAAAACGATATAAATTGTTCAGAAGTACAAAGCATCAGAACATGAAATACATAAAATGAAATACATTCAATGACAGGTTAACAAAACAGACTTATTCTTTTATTAAATCACGTAAATATTCAATGCGCAGATCGTGCCGTATGACCATGAACATTTGCCTACGAGTAGGGTCCTCAAGTTTTTTGACACATTTTGTCTGAAAGCGCATATCAGCAGCTACTTTTGGAATAATACCTAAAATGACAACGCAGTCCCATATGGTGCTGTCTGGGGGAGGCGAAGTTGAAAAAGCAGCAATTAGTTCCTCAAATGAGCTTTTCACGAAACTATTCTTCTCTTTCTTCCTCCTGCTAAGTCTAGGCCTTTTGAACATTGAACTGGACTCTCCCATCTCTTTTTGGTTAATATTATATCCTTCTTCATCAGCTATGCCCTGTTTTGGTGGCAAATGATCTGGTATTCCTGCAAATCCCAACTCACTTGGGTTGAATGCATGCTTTCCAGTTGTGACAACCCCCTTAAACATCATGTCCAGTTTTTCCTCGAATTCTGGCTCAATTCCGCACTGCCTATATTTTTGGCTGTTGGCATGACCTGCAACATTGAATGAAATTAGAGGGGTATAGGAATTAACCAAAAATATTAGAATTAACAAAATAAGTTTGTATTTATTACCTCCAATCTTTCAGCCCACCATTTATTTGGAGCATTGATAGTTCGTTTAACGGGATCCAACCCAATCCGGTAGATCCACGTTTCAGCTCATTTCATATTTTTCATTCCTTCTTTAATTGGTCCATTTGTTTTTAAATTTAAGTCTGTCGTAATCTTTTCTAATCAATTCTTTGAACCTCTTAGCAATATTTTGCCAACATTCCTTATTAAAATACGTGGTTGGTCTGTTCCCCAGTTCAATTTATTTAATACATAAATCACAAAAGATATTCGTTACTTCTTTATCCCACATTGTGGACAGACCCCCTTCAGTCGCTTTAGATATTTTGAAACTATATGAAACATAAAAGAAAATATTTACTTTCTAAATGTGTAAAAAAAATAGTCCAAATTCAACCAGATCAATTCCACAACTTATAAAGTAATTCTATGCAATTTCAAGAAATGACAACTTTCCACAACATTGCAATTTACAAATAAATAAATAAATAAAGGTAAACGAGAGGTTTATGTGGTTCGGTCAATGACCTACATTCACAGAAGACAATCCACGAAAATTTTATTAAGCAAATCTGTAAGTTTACATAGCTATGAACCTTAATTGAAGTTGACTACAACATGCTCTCAACTAAATAAGCATCATACATAGCACTAAAAATTCCTCCATACTCTAACAAATAACAGGAACCGAAAACAGATTCATTTGGTACTCAAACCTGCAACAATTACAACTGCAAAATATCGAATGCAACTCTGCAAGGAAATAAACTCCAACATCTCTGTTTAGCTAAACCGCAAACTGCAATTTCTTCAGTAATCAAGTTGTTTAAGATTGTTAAGATGTTGGAACTTATTAAGAGTGGCGGACGATCCAACGAAAAATAACATAATCCCTTACGCACTTATTTTTACCGCCGGCCCGAACGCGTTATTCAAACGCCACCCTGACATTCCGAAAACGCTGAACGCATCTTTAAGCCGCGTCAAACAGATCCTTAGATGAACACTGCTTAAGATACTCTTGAGTTGTACATGTTTTATACAAATAAATCATTTACACATATTTTTCCAATGCCCACATGTTTTATACAAGGTTCGAGAATGTTTCGTCGGCTAATCGGGCGTCTTGTCTATAGGGCATGATTGTAAGTTTCACCAAACTAGTCTGATCGTCTTACATGCAAGGATTGGAGTTCGCGGGTCTAGTAATTTTGAAATAAATGTCAAAATCTTAAAATAAGAGTCTACAAATCCAAATCAACCCAACTAGTCCGATTCTCTTCGTAAGGACTGGAGTTGACGAGTCTAGTAGTTTTGAAATAAATGTCCAAATCTTGCAATAAGAGTCAGCAAGTTTAAATTAACCCAACTAATCTGATTCTCCTACCTATAATGATAGGAGTCGACAGGACTTATGCTTTAAAAAGCTTAAATTGACAAAATTAATTACCCCTTTTATATATAAAAAATTAAAAATATTTAATACCCTAATGATGGCTGTTTTGATCGAAGATTTCAATTGGAGGGGTTACTCTTTAAAGCTAATTTTTTTTTTTAAATAATCAACTGATATTTAAGTTAAAATTCAATTACTAAAAGCTAAAAACAAAATTTATCCTCAATTGCAACAGTTTGTCGAGGGTGACAAATTCCTGATTAACTTCAGCTCACAAAAAACGAATGCAATATTGAATGTATCAATATATTCACAATCAAATTAATTGCATGCCAGCAATGATGTGAATCTAAGTACTCTGTCGGCGTGGTTTTGCCGCCAAATGACTCCATAAAATAGCAGTTACGACTAGAGTTCTCTGATCGTGTGGTTGCCGCCAAATGACATCATTATATTACGGTCATGGCCGCAACCTGTATGTTCCCCAATGACTTTTTATACTTTAAGTTGTGAATCATAAAAGTGCAACTGATTGGCGTAAATTATTATGTTAGTTAAGGTCGACTTAAATTTGTTCTCTTAGACAAAAATTCACTCCACTTTTACAAGGATATTTTGGACGACACAACCCATGGCTGTTGACAAAAATCTTTTTGTCAGGTTGGGTCGACTACCTCCTCTAACTAAGTAGATCAAGGGCCACGACGTCTCGGAATGATGGAGCCATAGGATCTTGATTTGGTTTCATTTTCA